CTTCACATATGCATCTCTGAAATCACCACATTTAATTTTCTTATCAAATTGATTTGGATATGCTTATCTGAAACCACCAGTTTGCGAAATTCGGATAGACATTATCTGAATTCATCTATGGGACAGTCATAATTAAATTCCTTAAAACCAAAGCAACAACACATAGATTCAACATAGATTATCGAAATTACATTGGTAGTTCAACAAAAAATTAACATTACATATTTTTATAAATGGGTATTTGAGGACGTCATAACATTTTGATAACATTTTCTTCTGATCTTTGAAGCTTCGCATCCACCTCAATCGGATCCTTAGAAGAGTATCATTGAAAAATACTCCACATAACCTCTAAATCATCATCGTTCTTGAGCTCAAACAAGGTAAACTTTATGTTTCCTTCAGTGTCAAGGGATGGTGAACGATACTCAAGCTTGACCACCTTTTGATTCTATGGATATTTCAAGAGAGAATTAAGTGTGGTAATCAACTCGGGGAACGAAGTGTCCTACGAGAACCTGAATTGAAATGACGAAACCGCACCATTGAAGTAGACAAAAGCAAGGTGTGGATATGTTTGTGCCATTTCTGTTTGTGGTTTGTGATGATGATGAAATAGTTTGGAGATCCTATTTATAGACTTTTTGGAACAATTTGGACCTAAGAAATTTTATCATGCTATAAGAACTTATTTCGGATATGAACATTTGAAATAATCATTTTTACCAAAATAGAAGGTTAATTCAGAAGTACATATCCGAAATAAGCCTTGTTGTATTGTTTTATTTAAAATAGAAGGTTATTACGGATGTGCATATTCGAAGTATGCAGAACTAGAAAATCATTTTTAGCAGAATTAGTACCAAAGAGGCATGGAAAACATGAAACCGATAACATTAAATAGTTGTAAAACTAAATATAGATATGTTATATATGTATTGAATTATATGGATTTTATATTGTGCACACCAATACATTCAAAAATTGGTTAAATTACATTCTGAAATGCACCGAACAAATTCTCACCGCTTAAATCTAAAACCGGTTCTTTTTTTGACTTCTTCCTATTTGATTCTCTCTCAAGCTTCATCAAATTAGTGAACTCTGTCATCTTTTTCAAAAAGTAATCCGACCAATTTTCCGCCTCTTTTGCGGGATATGCTCTTTTTATGTAACAGCCCGAGCCTTCAGCATTTCCGGCACTATTACCTCACGATCTTCTCTACCCCCCTCACTAGTAGAGTTTTTTCCTTTCATGGGAATCGAACCCTGTACCCTGGGGTTCAAGTACATGCTTAATGCATTCCCACTACCAATTGAGCTATGTAGCTCAATTGGTAGTGGGAATGCATTGAGCATGTACTTGAACCCCAGGGTACATGGTTCGATTCCCACGAAAGGAAAAAAATCTACTAGTGAGGGGGTAGAGAAGATCGTGAGGTAATAATGTCGGGAACGCTGAAGGCTCGGGCTGTTACATATGTCATCCACTCCACTGATGTAGCCATAATAGGACACCCTGATTTTAAATAAACCTGAACAAATGGCGTGATCTAAGGTACCCAATACACATGATACGGCTGGATGAGTCTTTAGGCGGGGGAGTCCGAAGTGGAAAAAGTGTTTCCGAAAAACCATATATCGATCGTCAAATCGATAGACACTTTATCATATGCACATGCTATAAGATGACCCATTTTAGGTAAGCTCATCCACTTTTCAACTGGTGTGCGAACGCTAACACTTGGAACAAGAGCATTGTGAATTTTATTGAATGCTTTCTTAGTCACATATAGTCGGCTGTAAATTTCTCTATGCGCCATCAACTCTGAAATCAGTGTTTGGCGTACAAGAGTGTGATTCTCCTCTGCTTTACCAAGTAAAGCAGACACTGCCCGAAATCTGCAATTACCATCACTCCCCACATCTATGATTCTTTCAATGTATTTGTGCATAAAAAGCGACATCTCATCAATGTAGATAATCGGAGGTGGACGTGGTGGTTTGGAAATCGAAGGTGTTTGTGGTTGTTTTTTAATAGACAATGTAAGAGGTGGTTGAATTGCCATCTTGTGTAGTTTTCACCTTTTTAGGCGCACCTTTGGTTTTTACCGATTGCGAATGAGGTTTCAAATCTGTGGTTTCTGGAATTGCAATTTTTCTCAACTGTTCTTTTATGTACAATCTCATAGAGTCACCCGCTTATAAAATCTATCCATTATCACTTCCAACTAGGTTTTGATGGTTATATTGGATGTACCTTCCTTTGTCGGTTCGTAGTCATCTAATCAAAGTATTTTCCAATGAACATAGACCTCATCCATATGTATGGGGAAATTGAGCTTCATCTTTTTAGAAATTAGACAAGCACATGGAATCCCGTAAGTTCTCCTAATTGTACACCCACACTTGGAACTATCTGGCCATGTCATCTCCGCTCGCATCGCTTCATGAAAAATGAAATTCAATCCCGCCCAAGATATATTGTGAACCAACTGCGAGTAGAAAGTGTTGTCTTTGAATTAGTATTCTACCACAGTTTTGCTCCTACCAAAAGTTGTTTGAATTTTGTTATGTGTTCTACCACAACTTGATACTTCTGGATGAGTCCAAAATATGTCACGAATACTAACGTTGTCCTCACAAATTCTGTACTTTGAAACATAGTGGTTATTGTCCAAAAGTTTCAAAAGATGTTACATTTTGGACCTTGGACCTCTTTGTACAATGATTTGTTGATATCGTTCATTGTATACCTACTTGATATTTGAAACAATTTGTGATCTTTTCCGTTTCAAACTAGAAAGTATGTTTCTTTGCGTAACTTTGATTAACGACAACTCTAAAATAGATTCCTTCTCTTCCAGGTTAAGTCGACATACAATGGGGTGTCCTTGTAGCTTGGTGTCCAACGCATGATTATGCATACCATAAATGATATTAAACTGTCACAAAGCATCAATCCTACAAGATGCACGCAATTTAAACGGACACTCACATTTTCTCGAACCTGTGTCATGATGTTTTAACTTTCGAATTTTTGTAACATATTTCCCACTTCTCTCGCATGTCATCATAATAAATGCTTGTCTTCTACTACTGACATTGCCAGACCTTTCAATCACAACACCAAACCCAAGTTTGCTAGCTCTCATTCTGACTCATTCAAGCATATGTTGACGAAAGGTGAAACTTTTTTCATTTGTAAATTATTGTCGAACATCTATCACGACATCAATCGTTTTAACACCGTCCTTCACCTCATTCGGCTTATAATCTTCATTGACCTTGTTTGAAATCTTTAATACAACTTTAGAAATCATGTCAGGGTGCACCATATCTAACACGGGCAAAAATAAAAATTCAGTTAAAACAGAATTATGTTTTTGTAACAGACATGTTTTCGGATATGCACATCTGAATTATGGTAGGTTGAATTCGAATATGCATGTCCGAAGTGACGCTGTTTTTTTCATCTTAAAATCAACATCAATGCAAGGAATGTGAGATGAAATGAGAAAACTTTACCTTAAATTGCTATGATCAAACACTTGAAACTTGGATTGGGGACGAAAAATTAATTGAAATTGATTGAAGTTTTGTGGAGGATTTTGGTTATGGGGGGAATGAAGTGAATGAAATAATGGTAGAGGTGATCATGCAGCAAATTTATGTAGCAAAGATAGTTTCGGATATGCATATCCGAAATTACAAAATGTTGGAAAAAAGGGAATTTCAGATATGCATATTGAAAACATCTTGAAAGGTACGTTTGGAAATGCATATCCAAAAAATATTTTCGAATTTTCAAAAGTGTTTTTTATTGTATAAAGATGGTTTAAGAAATTCTCTAAACTATAAACTATTAGTCATCAGTCATCGACTATAAACTATTAATTATAAGTTATCAACTATCTTATCATTCAACCTCTATTTTTACTTAAAAAACATATCCTAAATGAAAAATTAGGGGAATAAAAGTCCGGACATGTTATAGTTGAAAAATTAATATATTGAATCCTGAAAAATTAAACCTAGGAGTGGAGTATAGCTATTTTATATGTCAAGAGTATAACCAAGTCAAAGACGGGGAACGGAACACGTCGAGCTTTGAAAACCAAGTCAAAGATGGAAAACGATTTGAGTCATAATTATATTCACAAGAATAGCATGAGAGCATGGAGATCAGAGATTGAATGTACAAAAAAGTGACCCCATATGTTACTTACAAAATTTCAAGAAAATGGAGCTGGGTTTTGTCTTCTTTTGAGGGGGAATCTTGAAGAAATGACAATACAAATGCTAGTATAAAATTTTGACTTCTAACAACTTTCTGCTAGTATAAAATTTTGACTAAGCATGTTTAAGTGTCATTAGAGACGAGGGTGACATTGTAAACATTGTGAAGTGCTATTTTAGAAATGATTTTGTTAGAAAAGACTAGACATTTTAGAATATTTTTGGATTTGTGGTGTGAGAAGTAGTAATCTAATAAGTTAATAACTAATGAGGTTTTATATACATAATTGATGAAATGCAATGTAACATTTGAAGTCCGATTACAAAAAGTCTTGATTAATACATGAACATTAATCGATATTAATAAACTTATATTACTAATTTTAATGAACTATGATTTTCATTGAAGCATGTGTATCCCTTTTGTAACTCAAGTTTCCTTATGGGAAAAGTAGCCGCCAGCAACCCTAAAAATACCTAGTGAGTAAAAAAAAAACTAATTCAAGCCACAAAATTCGGAAACGCATAAACCCTCTAACGAGTTATTCAAATTGAAATGTGTAACAACAAATCTCTCATAGAACATAAAAACAATAACCAATAACAATTTCCTTTTTTTTTTTTTGGATCTAAGCTCAAATTTCCTTCTATACATTACATAGAAGTCATTAATGTACAAAAAGGAAACAAAAATTATATAAAATAAACAAAACAAACGAATTAAAAATATAAAATAATTTTTATTTTCGTTGCAAATTGATTCATCTTCCCCAAACACACCATCGAAACCAAACTTTTCCACTAATGAATCTCATAAGCTTTCTCACTGAACCTAATTTCTCTTCATTTGCATCTTCAACTTCAACCGAATCAACAAAATCTATTTCTTCACTAACATCAACAACATCACTACTACCACTAGTAGTATTACTCTCCGTCACCGGCTCCAACGATTCCAACTCGGAACGATTCAACTCAGACGATTTATTGTTTTTCTTGTTGTTGTTGTTGTTGTTGGATGCTTTTCTGTTTTTCTTCTGCTTTCTTTTATTCGCGGTTTGAGAGAGAAAATCTTCAAATTCATCGATGATTGTGTGAATGAGTTGGTGATTCGGCGACGAGTTCCAACGAATCCAATAACTCATGTAGCAATGGAAGCAGTTGCAATGGAAGAGAGGAAGATGTTCACCTTGAACGGCGTCCTTGGTTTTCCGGTTAGGGTTTTTGAAAAATGAAGAAGAAGATGAAGAGCATGAGATGAGGTAAGCGAGAACTTCTTTATCCTCCGGTGAGAGAGCGACGATGAGAGTCAGAATTGTTGCCGGAAGGAATGATAGTTGCTCCGACACCGTTGACGGCGGCGATGATGGATGAACCGCTCCCTTTCGGTACAGTTTTTTCATTTTTTTTGTTTCACTTCAAAGTGGAGAGAAAAAATAACAGAGGGTTGTTATAGAGATTGAAGGGCTTTATAGTATTTTGGGGAATGTTCGTGTGTTATGCGGCTCTTGGTGAGTTCCTGCACCTTTCTCAACTCAACTTGTGTGAGGTTTCAATTTTCGAAGACTTGTTTAATACACGCGCCGCTACATACACATACTATCTTAACGGTTGCGATTATCCTGGCTACATATATTGAAATTGATTATTAGGGTTTTTGTTTACTTGGGAAGCACGCTAACTATAAATACAAATTTTCATTTTTATAAAATTAATTTAAAATTCAAATTATTTAAGTCGCATAAGCACAAAATTACACATCAATAGTAATTTTATTCGATAGTAATATCTTTTTGAGGACTTTTCTTTAATAAGGCAAATATATATTAAAAAGCAAAAGTGATACAATCAAAACAGGAAGATCGAGCAACAATCAAACTTAGACAAAAATAAGAGAATCTAAAGAAAGGTAAATCTAATATATTTTTTATAAAATTTTCTCAAATCTCTAAAGAAGGGTAAAAAAATAATCGAGGAATTTGTGTTGAGATTAATATTTACAAAAAAAAATCAGCATAAGAATTTCTTTCTCTATAAATGTGCGTAGTGACTAAGTTAGAGATGTTACAGGGCCCAGTGTACGCCAGCGAACGATTTCTCAAACTGCGAAGAATAAGATTGGGGTTGGAGCCAGTTTTGACAACCATTAGACAATCGATTTCAATCCAAAGCTTTTGCCAACCACGACAAACCGCGATGTCAATGGCCTTCAAAACTATAGAGAATTATGCAAAGATCACAGAATCAGAACTAAGCTTTTCTGCGAATGTGATCAATGGTTTTTACACAGATATTTAACATTTATTTTTGTTATTGTTTCCTTTACTTATCAAGTTTTTATTTTGTTTTATCGTGCTTTGGTTTTGTGTTTTAGTGTTTTCAGGTTCAAAAGAATAAAATAGGACAAATCGGGATGAAAAAAATGCATAATTCAAAATTTCGAAGAAAATGCTACAGGAGCCCTGACACGGGTGGTCGTGTCACCTGACACTGGCCGTGTGAGGGGGAAGACTTGGAAAGTGTGGAAAACAGGGGTTGACACGGGCGGCCGTGTCAACATGCTTGAAGTAGAAAAATTCCTAATGGACAACACGGGCGACTGTGTCGGCCAGTGACGCTGATTTTAAGTGTTTTTATGATTTTTTACTATTTGGGACCCAAATGGGCGTTTTGGATATTTCCGACCAAGACAAATGGATTGTTCACTATTTAGCCAAGTTTGAAAGAGGAATTAGGAGACTTTTTTGTGACACGAAGAATTCAGACGATTGAAGATTGAAGCCTATGCAAGTGTTGGAGAACAAAGACCTTTCATGAGCATAGGAAATTGAAGATCCCAGTTCACCATCAATTTGTAATGTCTCTCGTTATTGTTATTGAAATTCTTTTGAACAATATGAGTAGCTAAACCCCCCAATGCTAATGTGGTGTCCCTGATTTGGATCTGTAATGACTTTGAATTTCTGATTTTATCAATTCTATGGTTTTTAATATTCAATTTAATCGTGCAATATTTTTATGCTTTCATGATCGGGCCAATTAGGATTGATATACAGTTAACAACTAGTTGGGCCGCAGTTGTTAAGGTTTTTATATGATTAGACTATAATAGATATCACCTAGGACTAGGGATACCCTATAAGTTACCAAAACCTCTTGATAAAACAAATGCTTGAATCCATCAGATATCTCTAAGGACTTAGGATGTATGATGAATGTTCAAAGGTTTTCTCACTAAGGACTTAGGAGAAAATAACCTACAGGGCTGGTAATTGGTTTTATGAACTTGTTGAAGAAATCAGGATTCAAGGTTGTCATAGGGAAAATTACACACCACACTCTAGCATGTTGCTCATACTTGCGAAAAGCCATAATTTACATTTTGTTTATTTTTAATTTCTGTTAAGTGACAATTCCTAAACCAAAACCCCAATTAAGTTTTTGTTTAATTGAACATGAATTGAACTCAATAATTGTACGCAGCCCTTGAGATCGACATTCAGGGAATTTCTCTATTATTACAAGGGGCAAAAATAGTACACTTATTATTTTTCCTATCAAGTTTTTGGCATCGTTACCGTGGACTGCCTAGTTATTGGGTGTAATTTGAGTTCAATTAGAATTTTGTTGCTCTACAACTAAAATATATTTGCTGTAATTTTTATATTTTTGTTATTACTGATTTTCCCTAACCTTCGCATGCGAGGAAAACCCTCAGCTGAATTTCCTTTTGATATACAGAATCAGAACCTGAAATTATGGGTGAAAACCCACCACCACCAGAGAGACTTCTTGGGGAATATGGATGAGCAAATGCTCCAGCAGGTCGGTTGACTATTGTGAATCAATCGATCAATGTTGCAAATTTTCAACTGCGTCCTTCAACCATCTGTCGGCTTGAGAACAAATCTTTCACCGGAAAGATCAATGAAGATGCCAATAAGCATTTGTAGAAATTCCTCACCATGAATACTACTTTGAAGATTGAGGGGCACTCTGAAGAAGCCAAGAAATTAAGGATGTTCCCGTTCACGCTGTCTGAAGATGCTGAAGAGTGGTTTTACTCATTGTCCGCTGGAAGTATCACCACTTGGGAACAGATGGAGAAGACTCTTCTTGATGAATACTTTCCTACTTCTGTTTACATTCGCAAACAATATGAAATTGTGAATTTTAAGCATAAAGAAGAAGAGTCACTAGGTGATGCTTACAAGAGGTTCAAGAGGTTACTGGTAGCCTGTCCCACGCATAACATGAGTCAAATTGAGCAAATGCAGATGTTTGTAAATGGCCTCTGAATGAAGACAAAGCAGCTTATTGATACAACAATCAGTGGCTTATCCAACTTTACAATAGCCACTGGTGTGAAGAAGATTATTGAAGCCATTTTTGCAAACGAGCATCTAGAGCTATATGACAGAGTTGTAAGAAAACCATAGGGAGTGGTTGATTTGAAGTTGGAAGTGAATAAGTGTTGTACCCCAAAATTTGCCCTCCCTTTTTCACAAGAAATCACAACCCTAGGGTTTTCTCTGATTTTTTAAGATTGGCTCAGGAATTGATCAAACAGACTTTTCTTTGGCAGTAAATCAAGAATCAGGGTTTCTCTCAGAAGAAATTGAATCCACAAAAATCCAGTTTCATGTTACTTTGTTTTCACGCTTTTTAAGCCTACTGAAAGATTGTTGTTTGTCCTCAAGTTTTGTTTGTCTGGGATAAGAGATAGGAGCTGAAACTGTCTAATCCAGATTAACCAGATGATGTATGTCTATTAAAATTTCTGCTTGTTAATGGAATAAAATGTTTGCCAGTTAATGGAAATGCTTGTTTGTTTGGAATGCACAAGACGTATGTTGATTGGAATACTGATGCAAAGAGATTGCAGAGTTTTTATGGATTACTTGGATTTTAAGTTATCTGTATTGGAAATGGTCGAATGCAATTTCAGTCATTTTTAATCAGGAATCTTAAATAAAAAGTGAAGAGGCAAAGGGAAAGATTGAAAGATATTTGACAGTAGAAAATTCTTGGATAAAGACTTTTTATTCATTTTCAAATATTGCTACAAAAGAATAATTTATTATTTTTAAATATTGTAAGTTTTTACAACTTATAGTATTTTAAAAGAAATAAATATTTACAATAAATGAAAAAAAGAGCCTATCTAATCTAAGCCTAAATCTTCTAAGCTTCAGTGATCCCATGCTTAAGATCTTTGGTTTCTACTGCTTCCTCTATCGTCCAATTAGTACGCACCTACAAAAGGAGAAGGAAAAGAAAATTAGTACAAGAATTTTCAAATGAAAAGAAAGAAAAGAAGGTCATCATTAAAGTTTTCCGGTCGGAATCAGAATGCTATTTGTTCATCATGTTTTTATTTTTCTCTTTGCAAATCACAAGAAGATCGCTCTTCTTGGTTCACAAAGAGAAAAGTAAAAGATAAGAATGCAAGCATACATTTGGTTCAAATGCTAAAACATGGTAAGGTACAAAGCAAGATACAAAGCAAACTTGCAGCAAAACTGAATACCAAACTGCAGTAACTAAACATTGCAAACATTGCAGCAAATTGCAAGGCAAACATAAGCAAGTCAGCAAAGCAAACTAAGCATGTCAAACTAGATGCAAAAAGCATACAAGTACAGAAGGTACAGCAGAAATGCAACAGGTAATACAATGCAGAGGAAAACCAAATTACAGGCCAAAGAGGCTTGTAATAGCCATCATCATTTTCTAGCCTAGACAAACTTTTCAGAAAAATATAATAAACAAAGCAAAAGTGCTTATTAGAGAGAGAGAGAGAAATAGAGGACCTTTAGTGAAAAGTTTTGCAGTTTGGCTAAAGCAGGCTGTCTCAAGTTAACAAAAACAAAACAAAAGATATATAATAGTCTAGCATCAGACACAGAGGGGATAGGAGAAAATACTTAGCCAATTCAAAAACAGTTTCAAACAAAGAGCTTGAAAACACAAAAGCTCAAAACCATAGCAAAAGTGTTAAGCCAAGCTTGCTCAAACTTCAAAACTAAAGAACCAACAAGCTGCATCAAAACCTGTTTACACAAACCTGCAGTTTCAAAACTGCAAAACCAAATCATCCAGCCTGCAGTTCAAACTACAAATTCAGTAAACACCACAACTAGCCAAAGATACAATAACAAACCTGCAGTTTCCAAACTGCAAATCAAACATTCCAAAACTGCAAGCCAAACTACATAATTTGTCAAACCTGTACCAAACTGCAAACAAGCTTTGCCAAACAATTTCAGAATCAAATGCATCATCCTCAACCATCAACCATGAACATTCAGAAAGAGGAAGACAATATCAACAAAACCCAGTAGTTTCAGAATCAAATCATCATTAACAAGTCAAGAAAGAGGAAGAGGTTCAGAAGCATATT